GCCCTACTAGGCAATATCTTCAGAGCATACACTTTAATTTGATGGAAGTGAGCTCTTTTTAGATTTCTCCACGAGTTTATCAGTCATCTCTCCTGGTGAACACCTTGAACGTAACTCTTTGGTTGTGTTTGTGTGTTTTCACACCTTCTAGGCTGCTACTTGTATTGGTACTGGCATTGATTGTTTCCTTCACCTGAAGTTTCGCCCTTTTTGTGTGAGATTTCCTTCTTATCGATTAACAAATTTTATCTATGTCAATGTGTCTATTAATTGACGATTCACTGGAAAACCACACGGTCTTCTAAAAATTCTCTGGCTAGCATTGTTGGTGTTTCCTCTGTCTAATATTTGAACGTTGGTTGTCCCAGTCGAATTGATGTCCATGGTTGTCTGTATGCAACGATATCAGGGAGGGCATGGATGTCATGTCTTTTGACGGCTAGCTTATGTTCATTGATACGAAGACGAAGAGGACGTCCACTTTGACCAATGTAGTATTTTTCGCAGTTGTTACAATTTATTTTGAAGACGATGTTTGTTTTATCTTCTTTCATTGTTGAGTCTTTTGGTTGACACAGAGCTGAATGTGAAGTGATTTTGTTCGTTTGTGTGCGACATCAATTCCTAAAGGTTTGATAAGTCTTGCAGTGATTTCTGAGGTGTCCTTTATGATATGGCAGGGCGATTTTCTTTGTGCTTTCCTTGGGGACATTTGGTCTCGTCAATTGGCTTGGGGCTAGATGTATTTTGATGAAGTTCCATGGTTGTCCATCTTTTTGGAAGAAGTCCATGAGATAATTTCCTTCGATTTTCCTTAAGGTAGGAGTGCTGCAGTGAGTCATGACATAGAGAACATTTACCAATCGATAAGAAGGAAATCTCATACACAAAAGATCAACCTTCAGATCAAGGAAACAATCGGTACCAGTACAGGTAGCAGCCTAGAGGGTGTGAAAACACGCAAAACAACCAGTCGTGTTCAAGGTCATCAGGAGAGATGATTTATAAATTGGTGGAGAAATCTAAAAGCTCACTTGTGGATTTTGTCTTAGTAGATGAATAGTCAACGCGTTCGCCTTCTAACCTTAAGATACTGAGTCAGATCCTTGGTCGGATCGTAAATACCTACTGTTGAAGAGTCCCAAACTAGGGTGAAACAGCTGTCCAGTATTCTCTGGTTTTCGAAAGCTCTCTTATTAACGTCAGTTTGTGGCCTAACTTCGAAAAGATGTGATTCTCTTTTGAAGATATCTGCAAACCATTCAAGAGAACAGGAAAATACACTCTGATCAAATGCGTACTAAAAAGAATGAAGAAGGGTTTGGCAACCATGCAACTGAGCTGAAATATCGTCAGATGGTTGGAGGCAATCAGCAGAAAGCTTTTTACCTAGGTTCTGTGCTCTATGGCACTTACCAGTCAGCAAGGCATATCTGCAGCCTTGGGGAAATTTGTTTCCCTTCTGAGATTCGAACGCGCGTCATTCAGTCCTGCCGGCAGTCAGAAACGTTACCACTCCAAGGTTGAAGAAATTCAATTCACTTATGAATTGAAAAATCAGGAAGGAGAGCTCCCAATGTTAGATTGCAACGTAAAGAGGAAAGAAGATGGGAAGTTAAACACACTAGTGTGTTTACAGGAAACTCACACTCAAACAGATATTTGGACTTCCAGTCATCCCATCCTATGTCAGTAAAAATAGGATTGGTGAAATGTTTAAATGACAGAGCACAGAAACTAAGTAGTACCAAGGAAAATCTAAAACAGGAACTGATACACATAGAAGAAGCCTTGAAACTTAATAATTACCCGGATAAATTAGTCAGGAAATATGTAGGAAAATGTAAAAATAAAATAAATAATGATAGTAGTGATAGTGACAATAATAATATTAATGACGACACCAATAATAAGGAATCTAAATCATCAGTAGTAATTCCATACAAGGAAGGAATCTCAGAAACCACCTTACGGCGGAGAATTCTTAACAATGCAGGATTAAAAGTGGCTGGCATCCAAACCAACCACAAACTCAATTGGAAACAAGCTTTGTCGGCTAAAGGATCCTGTAGAGCCTTTAGAACAAAACAATTTAGTCAATCTAATACCCTACCAAAATGATTGTCAGGTCAAATACATAGGTCAAACTAGTAGAACAGGGGCAGTCAGAGTAGCTGAACGTAAAAATTTAGCAAAATCTAGATTGGTTGACCCGAATAAGATAAGAAATCTAGAGAATAGTTCGGCTATAGCACTCACTAAATGCAATTACACACAACCATACAATATAATGGATGGGATAAGATGACAGTTACAAAATCTAATGTCACAAGGTGGAGGGAGAGATTGATAACAGAAGCTTTGTTTATCAAATCAAATGACAGTGAATACATGTAATAGGAATGATTCATCACCTGTCCCCGACATCTGGAAAATTCTATTACCCCAACGACGACAAATAGGAGAGAACAAAGAAAACTATAAAACTCAAGTTTCAAAGTCATGTGATTACAATTGATATAATTATGAACAATAAATTGTGTTCGAAACTTTGTCATCCAGTACCTATAATACTGTTTCACTGACTGTGTGATATATCTAATAAACAAACTAATATGAAACGTTACCACTCAGCTATTCGGGCTTGCGATTGACTTCATGTAGGACTATAATGAACACACTAGGTTGTAACTATTCTCGGGCGTCTAATTCTTCGTTTTGGGGCAGGCTGAATTCTCCCATTTAAATTTGAAATATGGTCATTATCTAACAACAATTCAGAGTGTAAGCCATCTAGCATGATGACGACAATGTCAACTTGACTGACAGAATTTGGCCTGCACAAAAATACAAAATAGACGCCTGATATTAGTTACTTCATAATGTCCAATCAAAGTGGGTTGAAACACTTGTTCGTTATAAGATCGGTATTATTAACATATAAAAATCCCTACAAACCAACACTTGAATATCAATGAGATGCTCACTAGCGACTTGCCCTATTCAGGTAGGTAGTTACCTTGGGTTCTAGTGAGAAGTCGTGACCAGTAGGGTGCAGCAGGTCGGGTGTGAGGACAAATACTCACCGAAGACATTGGCTAGGGGTCACGCTATGTCGTGAATTGGCAGAAGTTAGAATTCATGGGCTGGCTATTGGATCGGGTCCCAGTGGCTTAATGGTACACGAGCTCGCCTTGTAACCAGAAGGTCCTGGGTTTGAACCCCGGTGGGTGTGTACTGGTGAAGAGTCCCAAACTAGGACGAAACAGCTGTCCAGTACTCCCAGGTTTTCCAATGGTTCTCTAACTAATGTCAGCTCATGATGAAAATCCTGTATCCAATCAAATCCCTACAAACCAACACTTGAAAAAAATTAATAGACAGTACGTTGACTTCACACAGTTTTCAAAAGTACATCACTTAAGAACACAAGACAAAAGAAGTTACGATATCAACTTTAAACAATCTTATTGTATTTATGCGTAATTGAACTTAAACGACAGATCCCAGGCAATAACTAGTAATTTTCACTTCAGGGTGCAGTTTAAAGTATAGTTGTTTTTTGTTTAAATGGTTGTATCTATCTAAATTTCTTTGTAATAACAAAATTTCAAAGGATATACTAATTGTAGTTAGTCTATTAGTCAACATAAATGGGAGAAATCTGAAAGAAGCAACCTCCTTTAACTATCTACCTAACTGGGAAGCCTCGTTTCAAATACAGGTGGAAGGAACTGATAAGGATATGAAAGCAGTGAGGATTGGGAAAGCCAGTCAAGCTTTTATCACACTCAAGTCTGTGTGGAGATCAACAGCACTATTCAGCATAAAAATAAGATCTGGATTTTCAACTCAAATGTGAAATCTGTGCTACTTACTATACGGATCAGAGACTTGGCGCCGCGTCACGAAGAGCACTTCGAACAAACTACAGACCTTCACCAACATCTTTCTTCGCTCAATACTAATCAAGATCAGATCGCCAGAAATGACAACGAGCAAGGATCACTGGAAGCGAACCAACCCAGAAGGAACCAATTGTGCGAAAAATATGCAGAAAGAAATGGAGGTAGGTGGGTTGGCCATACTCTGGGAAAACCATCAAGTGACATCCCAATTCGACCCTTTGTCAGCTGATACTGCCCATCGAGGGAGGCAGCGGTTAGGCATGTGTAACACATTTCCAAACCATCTCAATCTATGTAACTTTACAGCCTCGACGATTGATTTCCCTGCTTACCTAGCACTCGACAAAAGACTAACTGCAATATCGCTGACTACATTATACCAATAAATACAGGAAATAGAACGCAGACACCTATGATCAAAGACAGCTAGCCAGCCCTTTCATGTCTTCCACCTTTAATGGTCATGCCTCGCAGCCATAAAGGAGGACAAAGCGAAATGCTCACCGACGTGTTCCGGGATTCAATTCTTGTCTGATATACTCCTACACTTCACTTAACTTACAGTGAGCCCGGAAAAGAGGAAAGACGTTATGTGTGAGGCTATCAACCCCACCACCCCGTGAAAACAACACAAGTACTACTGAAACTCGAAAGCTTGAAATCTTATATTCCACTTAGAACTCAAAGAAATTGAAAAGGCTCAATAGAATACACTATTACTGTGGTGAGAGCTGTCTGCTAGCCAATACTGGTAGACACCAATTTACGTCAATTGTTTACGTCCCAAATCGTGGTCATGAAAACAAACAATAGCAAAGCTTAACCTTGAGCAACCCAACAACCAATCACAGCAGACTTAGCGTGGGCGGATACGATTCGCAGATATATGGACCTTCAAAGAAACGGCCACAAAGAGATGACAGAATAACCTTGAGCAAGAAAACAACCAATCAGAAGACGTTACCTCTCTGCTAACAATAACGCTGATAATAATGTACATAAAAATCTATAAATATCTGTTGATTTTCTCAATAAACGATATGTTGCCTGACCCTTGTCTTCTGTCATTACAATATGATTAAGAAAACACGGTTTATTAGGCTCTTTTGACGCATGAATTATAATTATATTATTATTATTACATTTTAATATGTACAACAGATGCGTTTATTTCAAATAATTAATTTACACGAAACAACATCATCACTAATCATCGCTTTGTGGTGCACGTATAGATCGATTACTGCCAGGCTGACGTCGTCTAAATACAATACGAGCAGGATTACTACTGCTTGACTGTTCAACTTTACAAGAATTGTCGTCTTCGCTTTTCTTAGAACTGCCGCCGCCTCCGCCAAGACAACTTCCAGGATGAATTACTTTTTCTACTGGATTGAATAATGATGCATTTTCAATAGATTTTTCTGTTGCTTCTTCTAAATGTGCTATTACAGATAATTTTTCATTGAGTTCTGGATTCTGTGAATAGACAACATTATTGGTAGTGACAGGAAGATCAAGTTTCGGTAATTTTGGTTTAGGACTTTAAAAAAGGGAAAAGAAAAGTAAAGTAAAAAAAATATGAGGAATTACTTCTCATAGTCTTAATTACAACGAAATAAATATAAACTGATGTGAACTTTTAGATAACAAAGATTGAGGCGTTTAAATTTCTGTCTTTTCAGATAGACATAAGGTTGACCAGTAGATCATAAAACTGTGCACACTAAGCAACGATATCATGCACTAGTCAGGCACTCGAGTGAAAGTCGGATCGGAAACAAGCGATGAGTTGGGCTTGGCTTCAAAGGTGACATGAAGGAGAACGTGTAGTGAGGTGGATATAAAGGTTGGTGGATGATCATGGAGCCATCTAAAAAAAGAACTGCAGAGAACAAAGTGGAGTGGGGATGTGCTACTGAGACCCTATGTTTTGTTTGATTGGACACTAGGCAGTAACTAGTGTAATGTGTCTGGTCCTTTGATTGGTGCGGACTGAATTCTATCAGTCAAGTTTTGTAATGTGGCCACCATTCTCGGTAGCTCGTCATCACGGTGCACTTTCAGTTGTTGAGATTAAATGGTCGGAAGCAATTGGTAGGAAGCATCAGACCTAGGTTTCGTGCTTATCGCACTCACCACGATCAGCAAGGCGTATCTGCAATCTTGAAGGAACTCATGTCCCTTCTGAGAATCGAACCCGCGTCACCCAGTCCGACCTGAAGTCAGAGACGTTGCCACTGAGCTACTCGGGCTCGCGATTGACCTCCTGTAGGAATGTTTTGGATATTTTTGATTAGACACTAGTCAGTAACTAGTGTAATTTGCCTATTCCTTTCTTCGATGCAGACTGACCTCTAATAGATCAGTGGCAACGTCTCTGACTTCAGGCAGCAATGGGTGACGTGAGTTCGAATCTCAGAAAGGACATGAGTCCCTTCAAGGTTGCAGATACGCCTGCCTTGCTGACCGGTGATTGCCAACTAGTATGAAACCTAGGTCAAGCAAGGCTATCTGGTGATTACCTCCAACTATCCAACAAGTGACATTTATAGCATACCAGTAGAGAGTCCTAAACTTCCTTTCAAACAGAGCATTTTTGAACACTTGCCCGCCAAACCTTATCTTCACTCCATACCCATCACTAGTTTTAATTAACACTGAGTATCAATTTCGGCCCCCATTACATGAAAAATAGATTATAATCAAATTAGTTAACTTACGTTCAAAACATAAGCCAACTTACAACTTTTCAGTTTCTATATCACGCTTAGATGGTTATTCGCATTCGTCAAATTTACTCACCAGTGATAATCGTCGGCAGTACCCACCCACTGGGGTTTGGACCCAGAGCCTTCCTTCTTCTTCTTTTCTTTACTTCGGCTATCTCCTACGGGAGGATGAGCCGGCTTCATGGATTCATGAAGTTTCATGGGAATTTGGTACGAGTGATGTCCCCAGAATCGCTCGGCCTTTTGTTTGAGAGTGCAGCTCTAGCCTTTACACAACCAAGTGTGACCTACAAGGCAGTAGGAGTGGAGTAGGGAGTCCACTATCCATTGGCAGCCGGTGACCGGAGTTCGGTTCATACGCCTTTTTGAATGGGGCCAGACATCCAGGACATCCAACAAGCCCTTTGTCCATACGTCTGCCGGTGAGCTCCAGTGAGCTTCATACGCCAGTCATTGGAGGTTTGGAATCAGGGTTTAGCCATCTCCCCTAGACTGTCATCCAATGGACAGTCAACCCGGTGAAGAGCACCGGGCATCCGCTTTCGCCCTCTCAGAGCCTTCCGGTTACAAGGAAAGCGAGCTCGTATACCATTCAGCCACTGGGACCCGATTCAATGGCCAGTCCATGAATTTTAACTTTTACCAATTCGTGATTTAGCGCGTCGGTGGCACAGCAGTAGAATACTCACCAACCACGAAGCTGGTTTGGGTTTCGATCCCCAGCCACCGACGCCACACTCCTTTACCTCCCTCGCTAAGCTAGTAATAAGACTGGTGAAGAGGGGAGGTTGGTCTACGTGAGGCTAGCAACCCCATCCCGTAAAAATAAACAAAACTTCTACCAAAACTTCAAGCTACTAGCTTGAAGCCACCCTATGTTCCACTGGGAACGTAAAGAAATAAAAAAAGAGTTGGTTTGTGAGGACTTGATTTGTGTCAAGTTAGATCACAGACTGGTGTCACTTGAACACCGGTGGGTGTGTACTGTTGAAGAGTCCCAAACTAGGACGAAATAGCTGCCCAATGCTCCCTGCTTTTCAATGGTTCTCTAACTGAAAATAGTCCGTGATCTAACTTGGAACATAATGAATGATTTTGAAAAAGAATTATATTTTAACAAGGTTAGTTGAAATGACGCATCACAAACTATGTAAAGAGATGCAGAATAAATCCGTTCAGTATTGTAACATAATTGTAACATATTGTAAAGTGTCAAGTCTATTACTCTAGTCAGTTTAAAAGATTTATTAATGCTACAGAGAGATGAATGAAATGTTACCCAGTAACTACTTGCGCACAGGCACACACACATATACACTCCTGACAATGAGGAGTGATGGTGCTACCTAACCACCCAAAAACTGGCAGCTGGACGAGGCCCAAACTCTCGGACTAAGTTGACGAATGCCTACATTAATGATCTACAGCTCTACAAAAGTTATAATGTTATACCATCGACACAAGACAATTGACACAAAAAAAGTCAAACATTACTTACACATCCTCACAAGCAACCCAAGGGCCAAGCAAATCAATCCGTGGACCACGAAATTCAACAGGCCTAGGAGGTTCTGGTGTGCTAGGCCTTTCATTATGATTGTCAACTGTAGGCTTTTCTACTACAGCAGTAGTAGTTGATATATCATCTTCTACAGAAGCATTGAATGCCTGTAGTACTGCTTCATTTGCTCCTTTCGATCCAGATTCACTTAACTCCACAAGACGATTAAAGACAAAATCTTTTAATCTATCCTTTTCTTGTTTCACCGTCCGATTATCCGGTTCTATAATACCATCCGGTCGCGTCCATTGAGTAACACGAGTGACTGCATTCCAGTAATAATGTTTACCATCTGGAGTGATTGATTCTCGCCAAATATTCTCTGGTTTCGGTGGATCAGGCCGAGATTTAGCAGGAAGTGATTTCTCTGTTTTACTTAAAGTTTCTTCATTATTATTATTATTAGCCTTGATTTCTTCTGATTTTTATGAATAAGTATATACAGAAAAGTAATTACTAGCTAATTCAATTCCGTATTGTTTTGCCAATGACGGATCTCTTTCCAAATCTTTCATCATGCTGATATGAGCACTCTAATATTCAGGAAGAAAACAAAAAAATTATGAGAAGAAATAAACACGCTAAATACATCATTTATTTGTTGTAGACAAGCTTCCAGTTTTCGCTTCTCTATTTCAGCATCATTGTTGCTACGAGTTAAATCGTTCACCTTCTTTGCTACACTGGCTTTATGACGCATACCATTCTCATGATTTTGAATGCTCTACTCAAAGAAAAATTGAAGAAATAATAATTATGATTATTATTATTATTGAATAACGACTTACGATTTTATTGTCAGCAATCCAACATTTACATAAATCACAGTATTTTTTAGGATTACTTTTCCAATAATCAGCCATTCTCAAGGGAAGCTGACAGACGGAGAGATCATCTAAATCTGAAATGGAATATAAAAATAAATCAATATATATGTAATAATAATAATAGTAATATTAATGATGACATGCATGTCAAACATGCACAGGATAGTGACAACACTAACAATAAGGAATTGAAATCATCACAGTAGTAATTCCATACAAGGTAGGAACCTCGGAAACCTTACTGCGAAGAATTCTTAACAAGGCAGGAATAAAAGTGGCTAGTGTTCAAACCAATCACAAACTCAATTAGAAACAAGCTTTGTCGATTAAATGGTGGATCCTGTGAAGCCTTTAAAACAAAACAATTTAGTTTATCTAATACCCTGCAATGATTGTCAAGTCATATACATAGGTCAAACTAGTAGAACAGGGGCAGTCAGACCAGTCGAGCATAAAAACCTAGCAAAATCTAGATTAGTTAACTCGAATAAGATAAGAAATCTAGAGAATAGTTCAGCTATAGCACACATTACATGCAATTACACACAACCATACAGCATAGGATGGATGGGATAAGATGACAGTTTTAAAATGTAATGCAACTAACATGGTGGAGGGAGAGATTGACAACGAAAGCTTTATTTATCGAATTAACTGAGGGTGAATACGTGTAACAGGAATGATTCAACACCTGTTCTCCCAGATATCTGGAAAATTCTACTACCCCAAAGAAGACAAATAGGAGAGAAGAGAGAAAACTATAAAACTCAAGTTTCGAAGTCGTGTGTGATTATGATTGATGAAATGATTATGAACAATAATGAAATGTGTTCGAAACTTTGTCATCCAGTAAATAATACTGTTTCACTGACTGTGTGATATATCTAATAAACAAACTAATATGGAAAAATAAGTGAAGATATAAGCACAAGCTGTAAGGTGAAGTCATCGAATCAGTGAAGAAAACAACCTATAAATAAAACCAGAACTACAATGCAGATAATGAATTGAATTTCATGGATTCAAGTTGACAGAAAACCCGTAATCTTTTACACTTATTTACTCTACATTCTAAGTGACGGAATTTCAACACAGAACTTGGCATAGAAGTGCAGCAGTTGAAGTAGCTATACTACATGCAGCACACAAATGTGAATAAGAGAATAGATTAAAAAATTATTACTATTATTATAAGCAAAAAGGGAGTAAAATCAGGACATCTGGGCATAGCCGAGGCACTAGCCATCCAAAAGCTCAAACCCACGCTATGTATCCAAAAGAAATACGTCCAATCCTTGTCCCTGCAGTGGCCATCATAAACAGCTAATTCTTTTATTAGTGACTATCCCATTGACTTTCTTATCCAAACTTCCTGTTTATTCATGTTATTTTTTAAGTTTTTCACATCCGAACTTCCTGTCTATTTTGTCATTTTATCATTTCTACATATTTAATCCCTGATTTCATAAACAATTATTTGTCACATTAGCTATGATCCCACTATATTTTTTATTCAAACATCCTGTCTATTTATTTTGTTATTTCTACATTTCTAACCCCTAATTGCACAATCAATGTCAATCTTCTCAGTAAATAGGATGCTACTTTGTCTGAGCTTTATCTGTCCCCCTGTTTATTATGGCATTTTAATTCGTAATTGTAATTTTACTAATCTGACCCTTGACCAGAAATTACTCTGGAACTTTCCCACCCATTTATTATAAATGCACGAATATACAACCTGGTTGATGATTTCGTCGAAAAGAAAATTTTCTTCTCTGCAGCTGTCTTTTCATTCCCTTATGATCAAATGTGTATATTCTGTGATAAGCAGAAATGGCAAGCAAGAGGATAGGAACACGGAAAAACATGACGGTTCAGTGAAGATGCGGGATCACAGAGAGTGAATAAATCGGCACCAGTCATTGAGAACGATTTTGAGTTATATCACCAACAGTCTCCAGTAATCAGTTCTTAGCACCACGATGACCCCAACCAGGAAGTCTACACTTCAGTACACGGTTTAAACCAACTGTCAAATACTTTACGGACTGATCACAGGTTTCGGTCTGACCGTCCCTAGGCCCTATCCAACATAATCCAATGTCAGTCAAGATTTCTTGTCGAGAGAAGACGATGGTTCGCCATGCGTAACACATGTCTTAGCCAACTCAATCGATGTAACTTTGCAGTCTCATAGATTGACTTAGCTTCCTTATCTAACTCTACACCTAGTCGCAATATTACTCACCATACTGTACCACTTAATACGCAAGATAGAACGCAAACATCTGTGGACAAAGACAGCTAGTCATATCATACCTTCCACTTCCAATGAATAAGCCTCATAGTCTTAAACGAGGATACAACGAACTGCTAAGCAGCGCATACGTCATTTGATCGATAGCCGGCTTTCAAATCTACACCAAAGATGACGTAAGTTGGAAAATGCCACATGAACTTCTTGTGCTGAGATTTCGTCAGCAACTTCTCAAATAAGTGATCAAACGTGTCTAACCATTTCATTTTCTTTTCTCAGGGAAGGAGTCGGTGTAGTCGAGTCTTGTAGCATCATCTCACAATAGACAGCAGTGAATCACATGTCAAACATCCGGAGATTTCTACTCAGGGTGTTCAGAAGACTTTGCAACTTGTCAGCATCTTCACTTAGGAGGACAATATCATCCATATGCTCTAGGTTAACAAGAATATTCCCTCGCAACAAGTCAATGCCTAAGTCAACGGAGTCAATTAGAGTCAATTACATTAGTACATCTATGTTGAAATTAAACAAAAATGGACACATCCCAGGCGAACACCTCTGGGTGTCATCACTTCAGATGACACCGCTCCATTAGCTTTTACGCGGATGATTCAGTACGTTCAGTGCATTGGTCAGTGAAACGCAATTACTCAGTACTCGTCATCTAAACATTGCCGTGTAAACCCTCGATCAACGGAGTTGAATGCCTCCTTTAGATAAAGAAATGCGGTCTGTAACCATGTACACAATGTTAACGCAACTGAATAGATGCATGTTCTTCATCTAAACGACCCGAACGAATCTCCTCTGTGAAGTAGTTACGCTAAATACGACAGCAAAACCACTATGTTAACAACCCATATAATAACAAAATATTACAGCCTAATGGAATTAGGGCAGAAAGGTGAAAAAGAAAACATTTAATTTTATTCAGTCGTTCCACTGCCACACTTAAACCTGAAAATATTATATTTTGCACATGAAGTAAGTCATACTCCGAAATATCACATTTTTTGCTTAATTCCTTGTTACAACGAACATTAAATTCGATCAAGAAACAGCTTTCAAATACCTAGAAAATGATACACAAAATGGACAAAAAGCCTGTCAAAAAAATTTCGCCAGAAATACCAATTAACAATAACTTTCACATGATACTTTACCTTTACGACAACGATGCCTAACCATTATCAAAAACATAAATATATCGTCCAGTCATTACATGTCAGAAGATTAGTCAAAAATATAAACTAACACTAGACCGAACTCCACGTCTAAACATACACTGCAATTAGACTTTATTTCTCTCTTCAAAAATTGGCAGTACCATGGGGATTCACAATGCAAGTGGTGACGATAGAAATTTAAGCGAAAAAGTACGGCAAGTTGTATCGCTGCGGTTTGAATACTAGTACACCCAGATATTCTCCACGAAAACAACAAGTTCCAGAACTCACCACTACAATCATAATATGACATTGTTGTTATTCAAAGACAACGTCAGAATTTACTAGGCAGATTAGCAAGAATCAAACAAGGGTGAGAAAGTATATTTACCAATTTGATGAAACGACTTCCCATACATCATTTCTTACCACAAACGAAAGAATCCATAGCAAAACAGAACAAGACTGTCAACCAGTGAAAATACAGACGCACAGTTTCAAACATTTGTAGGAGAAATAAACAGAGAAACCAGTAGTCTCTGCACAACTGTCATCTGAACAAGAAGCAGATTTCAATGAGAGAATGAGTCCAAACACCTTGGTGTTTAGCTCGATCGGAGCAACCACAGTTATCGGTAATTTGAACATCATTCCTCTTACCCTTAAAATTTTTAAACAACTGAATGATGCGACTAGCAAAAGCTTCTCGACCGCCTATTCAATAAACTCCCTTTTAACGACTTCCATGAATCACTATTCAGTGAGTCCAGTCACTAGGTTTGTCTACATCAGTGTTCAGTTTCAACACCAGGAAACGTGTGGGTAACCCCTTAGACTGACTGGAGAGGAAGATTAGGAAATAGTAACGGTTAGCAGTAACACAAATCATAGATAGCAACAACGGCATGGCTCTCCAAGTAAACTAACTGGAGAATGTTTTTGATTGCACACTAGTCAGTAACTAGTGTAATGTGTCTAGTCCTATCTCTGGTGAAGACTGAATTCTAGCACGAAACCTAGGTTCAAGGCTTCCTGCCGATTGCCTCCAACCATCTATTACCAAACTGGAGAATAACATAAGGCCGTGAGGATACAAAACTGACATTAGCAGAAAAGACAAGTATGCCCTCATACAAACATAAACCCGGAAATAGCTTTGTCACAAGTAAACTGAACAAGTAGAGAGAATAATACACACCATAGATCCATCAACCTTCCATTCAGATAGGAACAATTCTATGCTACAATGAAGAGCTGACATTATTTTAGCCTTGTAGTGAACACATTCGACCACCTTATGCCCTATCCATAAACTAGAAATCTGTGAAGACGAGACTTAAATGATTTAAGTCACTTCATAGTCTAGACTAGTCGACTAGTCTAGGTGACCAATACCAGCATTTAGCAATGATTTGAGGAGTCTAAAGATACAATAATGCCTACTTCTTTCTGTCAAAAAGGCACACGCAACTAGCAGACCTCATGTTTTTCTAGGTTAATCGACTCAGGGCCTGATGCAAAATCAACAAGATGGCAGTGACTTATGTCCCTGTGTTAGTGTTAAAAATAAGGATCACATAAAGTGCTGTCGTCTTAAAAAAAATTTCTTCTAAAAACAAACAAATCAGTAAAACTAGGTTTAGCAACGATATTTTATATCCATACATCTTCCTCCCCTTAAGCATAACGTATTCAAGAGTGTGAATAAAACGCTATATATTTATACAGACATATGAAGGTTAAAGAATTTGTACTAACTGATCGTAGACGATAGTACCATGCACAATTTACATACCTAAGGGGGAAACAAAAGCAGTAACGCAGGCTTCGTAAACAGCGCGTCCACTGACCAGCTTGCAGATTATTGAGGATAGTAGGCTTTAACCTGCATTAATTCTCTTAGTTTGCAGTACCCTGAGGGCCGAATCTCGCCTTTAAGGGTTCGAAAAGTGTAGACATAACGTGCTTCAGCAGAGAATTCTCCTGTTTCACATTTTGCTGTGGCAAACGAACTTCCAGACGTAGACGATTTAAGATTTGAGATTTGTTGGTCGAGGATAGAAGGTTCGGGGCCTGTGTTGATTCTTTTCTAGTAAATTTATGTGGTTGTCCAAACTTCTTGAATGAATCAGTTAAGGTTGCAGACACCACTTATTCTGGGAGTCGGTTACAAGAGTTTATGACTCGGTGTGAGAACCAGTACTCGACAGTAGTATGATTGGCTTTTGAACTCTTCTACTGTGTCCTCTGAGGCGTTCCCACCTCGTGAGAGGGAAAAGAGAGGATAGGTTAGGTTATTAGTCATTACTTAAAATTTTAAACGTTGTAATTAAATGTCCTCTCTACCTACGGTATGATAGGGAGAAGAGATTTAAACTGTCTAGTCTTTCCTCGTATGATAAATTAGTCACGCCGAGAATCATACGTGTTGCCTTCCTTTGGACCCTTTCTAGAATATTTGAATCCTCTTTGAGACAAGGACTGGCTACCAGTCTTGACCTCACCAGAGGTATATGTAGGGAAATGAATATATCTCTGGTGATTCTAGTAAAGGCTCTGCGAACTGACCATAAGGATCTGAAACTACGTGCCCCCACCGCATGACAATGTGTTGTAGTTTTTAAGTTGTGACTTACTATGACACCTAAATCCAAATGAGTCTGAACTGATGGGAGTGTTATTCCCTCTAGTTTGCAGGAGCTGACGCTTGTGTGTCCGATGCGCATAGCTGCACATTTCGCTACATCGATCGGGAGCATCTATTCTTTGGACCAATCTAATAATCTGTTGAGGTCCCCTTGCGAGGCGAGAATATCACTGTCGCCCTTCGGCTCTCTCCACATTTTAAGTCATCTGCGTATAGGACCATTGGGTAATCCGTGAGCACAGATAACTCATCGATATACAAAATAAATAGGAGAGGTCCGAGTACCGCGCCTCGTGACACTCCGCTATGCACTTCTGTCCAGGAGGAGAGTTTCGAGTTGATCCTAACCCTCTGCCTCCTATATGTGGGGAATTTCCTAGTCCAGTTTAGTAAGCTGCCTTTGATACCAAGACTTTCCAACTTCATGTGTAGTCTTTTGTAAGGAACTTTATCTAAGGCTTTGCTGAAGTTTGTGAAGACGACGTCAACGAGTCCTTTGTTCTCCCCTGATCTGACCCAGCTTTCTCTTGCAGTGAGAAGATTTGACGGGCATAAGAGATTTCCTTGGAAGCCATGCTATGCTCTGGATAACAAATCGTTGTTTTCCAGATATGCCATGGCGCTTTTCTTGATGATTCTTTCCAGTGTCTCGATTGAAGTGCTGATGAGACTAATAGGCCCGTGGTTTGAAGGGCTTTGACTTGTTCCTCTTTTGCGGATGGGGGTCACTATGGCGTCGTTCTAGTCATGCGGTAACACTAAATTTGGGAGAGATGGATTGGAGATCGTGGTCAATGGGCCGGCTATATGAGCTGATAGAAATTTGAGAAGCCTTGGATGAAGATTATCAGGAACCATAAATTTCCCTGCACCTATTTTAATCAGGCAGTGGAACACGATGTCTTGGTCGACATCAACGGAATCTATCTTGTATTCCTGTGATACATCCAGAGCTGATCCTACAGGGTGTGACGACTCCTGTGTAAAGACTTGGGAGAAGTAGTCTGAAATTGCCTCTACTTTTTCTTGATCCTCTTCGATTGTGTCATCGTCAACAGTCAGGTTTGGGACACCACTGGATGTCTTATTCCCCAAGTTCATGTACGAAAAATTTTTCTCAGTTTGTGCCGTTGCATTTTGAGCCAGACGTGCTCTGAATTTCATCCCTGACTGACGGATTTCTACAATAGCTTTGTTCCTAGCGATGTTGTAAAACTTTCTGGTCTCAGGAGTCTCAAGCGTGGCGAACAGGTCGCAACATTTGTGTTCACGTGTGAGGAAATTTAACCTCGCCTAGATTACTAGGTCACTAGTATTCTAGCCGGTCCCAAGCCCGGATAAAGAGGGAGGGTTGGGGCGTGGTGCTAGCAACTCCACCCCCAAAACTTAACCAAATTGCTACTAAAACTTCAACGCACAAATATATTCAAAATTCTAAAATTACAAATAGTGACCTTATTTTTCGCTGGAATCGGGGAAGTGAAATGACGCGGGCTGGTGAAAGCCTTCGGGAAGCCAGTCAGCCGATGTGCCTTCTTTCGATGAAAGCGAAAATAAGGATGGGGACGTGGAATGTTCGTACAATGTACGAAGCTGGGAAGGCTGCTCAGGTAGCCGCAGAAATGAGGAGATATAGAATAGAAGTGTTGGGAATCTGCGAGAGCAGATGGAACGGATGTGGAAGGAGCCAACTATCAACTGGAGAGACAATAATCTACTCCGGTCACCCAGAGGACAATCACGAGCACACCGAGGGAGTAGCCATCATGATGTCACCAACAGCGGCTAAAGCTCTCATGCAGTGGGAACCAATCTCCTCCAGGATAATGACAGCCAGGTTCAACTCAAAAGGAAAAAAGGTTACAATCATTCAGTGCTACGCGCCTACAAACGCCTCAGAACATGAGAAGAAGGAGGATTTCTACAGTCAACTACAAACAGTAATGGACAACGTCCCAAAGAGCGATATCAAAATCCTGATGGGCGACATGAATGCGAAACTGGGAGGAGACAATACAGGAATAGAACTCACCATGGGTCGTGAGGCCCTCGGTGAAATGAACGAAAATGGTGAACTCTTCTCAGACTTCTGTGCCTTCAACGATTTGGTGATTGGTGGCAGTGTGTTCAAACACAGGGATATACACAAGGCGACATGGATTTCACCAGATGGACACACCAAGAACCAGATAGACTTCGTTTCAATCTCAAGGAAGTGGAGACGGAGCCTACTGGACACAAGATCGAGGAGAGGAGCAGATGTGGGTTCAGACCACTATCTGGTACAAGGGACTTTCAAGGTGAAGCTGAAAGCCTCGAGGATACCTGGGGATAGGCCACAATGCAAGTTCAACACTCACAAACTGAAGGACACAATCACACAGGACATTTTCACTGCAACTGTCAGAGCAAAGCAGGAAACACTACGTGGCACCACTGAGGAATCATCCGTGGAAGACCATTGGAACTCTCTGAAGGTAATTTTCAACGAAACGTGCTCAACGGTTTTAGGAAGAAAGAAGAAACAAGACAAGGAATGGCTCTCAACAGACACTTGGAAACTAATAGAGGAGAGGAGAAAAGTGAAAGAGAAAATGATTCAATGCAAAGATGGACAAGAGAAAGAGACGCTGAACTCAACTTACACAGCACTGGACAAAGAAGTGAAGAAGAGTGCCAGGAAGGACAAAAGACAGTTCTACGACAACCTGGCTACTGAAGCTGAGAAGGCAGCAGGCAAAAGGGACCTGAGGACACTATATCAGATAACCAAGTCTCTATCCGGGAAGAGATCAACACAAGTGAAACCTATAAAAGACAGCCAAGGGAACCCAATTACCAAAGAAGAAAGACAGATTAAACAATGGGCGGACCACTTCAAAGGACTCTTGAATCGACCACCACCTACAACCCGTCCAGTAATACCAACAACAGCACGTACACAACTGCAAGTTGACACCAATCCTCCAACGAAAACTGAAGTCATGAATGCAATCAAGCTTCTGAAAGCTGGAAAAGCAGCTGGACCAGATGGAATACCCCCGGAAGCACTGAAAGCGGACCCAGAAACGACGGCAGATATGCTGACTCCATTATTGCAAAAGATCTGGAAAGAGGGAAAGGTGCCTACTGACTGGAGGAAAGGTTACCTGGTGAAACTACCAAAGAAGGGCGACCTGGGACTCTGCAAGAACTGGCGAGGAATCATGCTCCTGTCGACGCCAAGTAAAATCCTGAGTCGCATCATCGCTGGATACAGAACTCCGACCAGAACAAGCTGGATTCAGGAAAGGCAAATCATGTTCTGATCAAATTGCAACTCTACGCATTATCATCGAACAAAGCATGGAATGGCAATCAAATCTCTACCTCAACTTCCTTCATAGACTTTGAGAAGGACTTCGACAGCGTTGACCGCGAAGTAATTTGGAAACTACTCGAGTACTACGGCGTACCGCAAATATTCATCAACCTTATTCAACAACTGTACGACAACGGCACATGTCAAGTGATTCACAACGGAAAACTCAGCGAAGCGTTTGGAGTAAACACAGGAGTCAGACAAGGGTGCTTATTATCACCAATGATATTCCTAATTGTGGTGGACTGGATTATGCGTCAGACAGTGGGAAACGAGAAGACAGGGATATCCTGGACCGACGTGAAGAACCTAGAAGACCTGGATTTCGCGCGTGGATGATTTATGTTTGATGTCACACAAAATCGAAGACTTACAAGCAAAAACCGACAAACTGGTCGAAGAAGCAGCAAAGACAGGACTCCAGGTGAACATAGACAAGACGGAGGTTATGAAAATAACCAACCAACAACAACAACAGCAGCAGAAACATCCAGTGCCAATCACCATCAACGGAAGGGATTTGAAAGAGGTTACTTCTTTCACTTATCTGGGGAGCATTGTCTCAACCACAGGAGGAACGGACGAGGATGTCAAATCGAGAATCGGGAAGGCGAGAAACACATTCATCAACCTGAAACCAATCTGGAAATCTTCGTCACTCACCATCAACAACAAAATTCGGATTTTCAATACAAACGTCAAGTCAATTTTGCTTTACGGATCAGAAACTTGGCGGGTCACCAAGAATATTTTCAACAGGTTGCAGACCTTTATCAACAACTGTCTTCGCTCCATACTGAAGATTAGATGGCCAAAAAGAATCACCAACAAGAAGCTATGGGAACAAACGAAACAGGAACCAATCTCCCAACAAATATGCAGGAGGAAGTGGAGATGGATTGGACACCCGCTGAGGAGGCCGTTGAGTGACATCGCGCGTCAAGCCCTCGAGTGGAACCCGAAAGGGAAGCGGTGAGTGGGACGTCCAAGGGTGACATGGAGGAGATCGTGTGAGGAGGAGATGAAACAGTATGGAATAACATGGACGCAAGTGAAAAGAACAGCAGAAGACAGAAGCGAGTGGAGACGTGCAGTTGAAGCCCTATGTTCCACTAGGAACCCAAGGGAACAATAATAATAATAATGTGAGGAAATTACGAAAATCTCGGTTTATCCAAGGGGGCAATGTTTCCGGCCCTCTGGTACCGACCAATCGATGTAAGCTGGGTCAGATCAGGGGAGAACAAAGGACTCGTTGACGTCGTCTTCACAAACTTCAGCAAAGCCTTAGATAAAGTTCCTTACAAAAGACTACACATGAAGTTGGAAAGTCTTGGTATCAAAGGCAGCTTACTAAACTGGACTAGGAAATTCCCCACATATAGGAGGCAGAGGGTTAGGATCAACTCGAAACTCTCCTCCTGGACAGAAGTGCATAGCGGAGTGTCACGAGGCGCGGTACTCGGACCTCTCCTATTTATTTTGTATATCGATGAGTTATCTGTGCTCACGGATTACCCAATGGTCCTATACGCAGATGACTTAAAATGTGGAGAGAGCCGAAGGGCGACAGTGATATTCTCGCCTCGCAAGGGGACCTCAACAGATTATTAGATTGGTCCAAAGAATAGATGCTCCCGATCGATGTAGCGAAATGTGCAGCTATGCGCATCGGACACACAAGCGTCAGCTCCTGCAAACTAGAGGGAATAACACTCCCATCAGTTCAGACTCATTTGGATTTAGGTGTCATAGTAAGTCACAACTTAAAAACTACAACACATTGTCATGCGGTGGGGGCACGTAGTTTCAGATCCTTATGGTCAGTTCGCAGAGCCTTTACTAGAATCACCAGAGATATATTCATTTCCCTACATATACCTCTGGTGAGGTCAAGACTGGTAGCCAGTCCTTGTCTCAAAGAGGATTCAAATATTCTAGAAAGGGTCCAAAGGAAGGCAACACGTATGATTCTCGGCGTGACTAATTTATCATACGAGGAAAGACTAGACAGTTTAAATCTCTTCTCCCTATCATACCGTAGGTAGAGAGGACATTTAATTACAACGTTTAAAATTTTAAGTAATGACTAATAACCTAACCTATCGGGCGTTGATAAGGCATATCCCCTGTTTGAAGTGGCGCCTCCAGCTTTACCTTGAGGACATTTGCGCGGTCTAGTTGATTTCAGTTTGGCTGACTTGTTTCGTTTGATCTAGGTAGCTGCATTTGACGTGATTCTGGTTTCTGTTTGGCTTGAACTGTATTGATTTTGTTAAGAATAGTCGTCAAAAGCTGCCTCTAGGCCTAAAGGCAGTTATGGTGCAGGAGGATGCTTGAGAATGTGTTTCATGTGAAAATTATAGGGTGCACCTAAAATCCTCCTGTTTGTGGCGCCTCAATGATTCCTGTAGAGCTTCGTTTCATCACTTGTGTCCATATTTGTCATTCACGAAAGTTTCAGTAAATGTTTATGGCTATAATCAGGAACTTTCCAAAACGGTAACTGTGGTAAGGAATTTATATTTTTTTCCGCTATAGTTTCCAAGTCAATGTCTCTTTTAAGTTGCTTACTGTACTCTGTGGCTATTCGTGAATTTTTAATTGAAAAGCTTCTGTTTTCATTTACAGTGGTACCGAATGGACGCATTGGCACTTGGAGACAATGGCGACCAACCTGTCCTTCCTATATCAGTGGATATCAAAAAACTTTTTGACGGAATTATGTTTAGTCACCGGTATACCAATTGGGTTCAAGTAGAAGATGCTCTTAGTCAGCTGGAATCAGTAATATATGTATATATGTATGACAGAGTATTCCTAGGCAACTCATACACATTATGTAATCAAAAAGTGCATACGGGACCATGAATCTCAGGATTTGAAGTACAAATTAGTAGTCTTTCGATGTATATATGGCATGAAGCGAAAAACTAGAGGTTCAGGTTTACGCGCCAAACCGTAAGAGTTCTATTATTTATTTCTGCAGTGCAAAATACACCGGTTGCCAATCTGGCTTTCGTATACGCTACAAGGAGGACGAGTTCACAGTTCACAATCACATATGTGAAAAAAGTCTTATGATAGGTGATCCATATTTTAGACGCCTGTCCGGGGATGAAAAGGAGAATATTGCACCAGTTGTGAAGACTACATCTGAGGTTGCTGATGTTTTGGAATATGGTGAAGAGAATTTTAACAAAATTTTGACGAGCACAGATGTGTATAATTTACGTAAGGATGTGAGACCAGGTAACTGAAGTAGTTTAAAGTTATTTTTGAAGCCATGCCTTTAAGATCAGATGTTATGCGCATAATAAGGCAAAGCGGTCAGGTGGTTGAATACGTGGATTCGAATACAGGGATAACCAGCAGAGTTTGCTTCGCCCTGGAATCACAGGTTCAGTTATATCGGAAATATGGAAAGGTGGTGTGTATTGACTCAACATACAATACCAATAAGGACGGGTAGGTTATACGTGAAACGGTTGACAAATCTTAATCAGATATCCTCTGTTTCAGTTGGTGGTAACAGACAATATGGGCCTGTGTTTTTGGCATGGACGAGACGAGGGAGGTCATGTGATGTAGCTTGGATATCGGAACATTTCCAAAGAATAATGCAGGATACGTCCATTACAGAAACTTTCGTAATGGATTCAGCCAACTGTGAG